GTTTTATCTCTTTGTCGAATTTCTCACTGAATTCATCTACACTTCCCATAAGTTCATTGAGCATCTTTATAACCAGTGTTTTGAACTCTGCATCTGTTAGATTACTTGACTCCATTATATCTGGATCTCTGTTCTGTTCTCTCATATGGTTTCTGCTTCTTCGTCTTCCCATTTTGGCTGTCTTTCTGTGTCTATGTACTAAGCAAAGCTCCTACATCTCCCGGTCTTATTAGTGTGGATTTGTGAAGTAGGTGTCCAGTGGCACAGTCCTGAGATGGGTTCAGCTGCAGGCCAAACTTAGCCCAAGCCTCTATCCCTCTGGAGCCACTGTTAAGATTCAGCAAGCAATCCACAGATGCTGTGCTTATAGTTGCCTCAAAAGGCCACACCAGAAACCGAGACCAGCTGCCTCCAATGCGAGTCTAGGTTGCTGCTCAGCAAGGAGCACCTGACTCTCAGAGGGCACATCTTGATGTGGCTTGAGTGGGGCCACAGGTGGGGGAAGCCCGATTTCGGGGACTCCTCTGGGTAGAGTGATCTCTGTTATCCAGTTTGATGATGTCACACCTATGATAGTGCTGTGTCCACGTCCTGGGAGGGGTGAGGGCTCAAGAAGAAACAGTAGATACTGCTAACACCTCTGTACAGATCAAATCTCGCCTCAGCCCTCACTCTGGCAGTGTCTCCCTGTAAGTCCCTAGTGCAGCCTGCGTGCAGCCTCATCAGCACTGGTGCTCAGAGCAGGCAGGTCCATCACAACGAAAATCTGCTTGTGGACACAGCCCCTTTAAAGGGCTTCCGCTGCTGCCGCTGCTGCAGCCTCCGTCTCAATCAGCTGCTCGAAACTGGGCAGCCCTACATTGTCGCCCCATCCTACCTTCTGCCGTTGCAAGGTGATGTCTTGGATTTCTTCCTAGTTGTATGGCTTGTTCATCTAGATCCCGGGTGATGTTTCTTTGCTGCTGCTCGTTGTTTCTGTCACAACTTTGATTTGGTCGCCAGAGGGATGAACAGAGCCTCTATCATCTGTGCCTCTTTTTTCCCTCTCCAGCCACCGTATCTTTTGATTGAAGCATTTCTTTTTCACTTGAAGTATATGTTGATAGATATGCAGTTAATGCCATTCTTTACTCATATTTTTTATATATAATTTTTTCTTTTTTTTAAAGAAGTCCTTTCAACATTGCCTGTAATACTGGCTTGATGGTGAAGAACTTTAGCTTTTGTCTGGGAAGCTCTTTATTTGTCCTTCGATTCTAAATGATAGCTTTGCTGGGTAGAGCAATCTTGGTTGTAGGTTCTTGCTTTCCATCATGTTAAATATTTCCTGCCAAGCTTTTCTAGCCTGCAAAGTTTCTGTTGTAAAATTGGTTGACGGTCCTATCAGACGCCATTGGAGGCAACTAATTGCTTTTCTCTTCCTGATTTTAAGATTCTCTCTTTGCCTTGAAGTTTGTATTTTAATTACGATGTGTCCTGGTGTGGGCCTTTTTGGGTTCATTTGTTTGAGACTCTGAAATGTCTGGGCTTGCATGTCTACTTCCTACACCTGGTTAAGGGAGTTTTCTGTCATTATTTCTTGTAATAGGTTTTCAGTTCCTTGCTCGCTCTCTTCACTTTTTGATACTCTTAAGATATGCTTGGTGTTGTCCCAGAGACCTTAAAACTACTCTTATATTCTTTTCTCTTGTTGCTGTTTTGACCAGCTGTCCTATTCATCCTGTAAATAACTGATTCAATTGTTGGCTTCAATCAATCTGTTGATTCCATCTGATGTACTCTTCATTTCAGATACTGTATTTTTAGTTATCCCTGTTTTTTTTTATTTTTCTCCACTTTTATGTTTTCTATTTCTTTGCTAAAGTTCTCTCTGATTTAATCTACTCTTCCCTGAAGTTCATTGAGCTTCCTTATACCCGATGTTTTCAACTTTGCATCTGGTAGATTGCTTGTCTCCATTTTTTTTTTCCTGGAGCTTTGTTCTGTTCCACCCTGTGGGGCATGCTTTTGTATCTTCCCATTTTGGCTGCCTCCCTGTGTTTGTTTCTATGGACTAGGGTTCCTAAGTTTCCCGGTCTTAGTTGGGAGTGGCTTCATGTAGTAGGTGTTCTGTGAACCCAGTGGTGCAGTCATCCCTAGTCACCTGAGCAAGGTGCTTAAGCTGTGTCCCTTGTGTGAATTCTGTGTGCTTTACTGATGCAGTTGAGCCTTAGTTACTGTTTGCACTTCGATGAAAGAAACTGACCCTTAGGCTGATTGGGTGTGGGGATTGGCTGGTGAGGGGCCAACCCTACAAAGCAGGATTCACTTTAGCAGGGCTCTGGTGCCTGCCTAGTCTGCCCTTTGAGTGTGTCCTCCTCAGGTGCTCCATCACTGGTCGAAGCAAGCCACGGGGTATGCCCACCCAAGGACCTCCTGAGGGGCAAAGCTGCAAGCCAAGGTCAGCCACAGTCTGTGCACTTCCAAGGTCATCTGATTAAAGTCACAAAGCAATTTGCAGATGGCTGCCACTTGTGCTGGGCATATAGGTTCCTCAAGAATCTAAGCCTGGAACCGAGACTGGCTTCTGCTCAGCCAGAGGTATGGGACATGTAGAAGCCAGTTGCTGCTTGTTTGGGTTTTGTGAGTCGATGATAGATTTTAGGAAATTCTGCAACATGAGAGGAGACAGGCCATTTGTATGAAATAAATGACTAGAAGCGGTTTGGGTGAGACCACATTTTGGAAGGGGGAAATTCTCAGGGAATCACCAGGGTGGGGCAACCTGTGTTATCCAGGTTGATGAAGACTCCGTTATGGTGACCTTCTGCATTCATATACTGGACAGAGAAGGGCTCAACCAAACAACAATGGATACCATCAGCACTTCTTTGGAGGAGAAAATTGCCCCTCAGTCCTCACCCTGAAGCCCAGTGACAGTTCCCCCCATAAGTTGCTGGCGCTCCTCGAACTGCTGCCCCAGTGTTGGAACTCAGAGTAAGTGAGACCATCAGCGAGTAAGTTTGCATGTGTGTCCTTTAAAAGTCTACTACTCCAGGAGCCCTCTGTGTCAGCCAAAATCTACACTGGTTTTTGCAGCCAAAGGTTGGGGAACTTCTATTTCTGGTACTGGAGCCCTAGGATGGGGAACCTGTTGTGTGGCCAGGACCCTTGTTCCTCAAGAAGAAAGGGCGTTTTACAGCAAAGATATTCCTCAGTTCTCGACCACCACACACTACCATGAGACCGGGCTGTTTCATGTCTCTTCCCTGCCTAGCATCCTCTAGGTAACCTCTTCTAATGTATTTCTCCCCTGTAGGACTTCTGTTATGCCACACCTCTGGCAACTCCTAGTGATGGTTGCTCTATAATTTCATTGTAATTTATGTGTATGTGCGAGAGGGCCAGCACAACATCTAGCTTCTAACTCCATCTTGGCTGGTCTCCATCAACTCCATTTTGTTAGGGCTCAGATTTTAAAGACCATGATAGGCAAGACTTGGAAGGAAACATGACATTGAATGGAAGTTTCATCTCTACTATAAACCCCAAGCAGCAAGGCCATTACAAAATAAACTACTGAAGTAAAAGATTATGTTACTAGAAACACACTCTCATCCAGTGGGCTAAGGTTGTGTCCATTGATTTAATATATTTAAATGATCGAACAGAAGGGCCTGTTGCTGCAAGGACCTAATAAACAACAAAGATTGATCAGAAAATGCAAAACCCTGCATGAATTTGGAAAAAAAGAAAAAAAGAGGGTTCGTGATGGGTGAGGCCCTGGAAGAGTCTGTGGAATCTGCTACTTAAGAGAAAATTAAAATCAACCATGTGTTTGGTTGGAGCTGTTCTAGACAGGTAGAGGCAGAAGTCAGAAAAATGTACTGCAACTCTGGCTCACTAGAGTCCAAAGCATCAATGTTTCCCGATGGTCCAGAAAAATAGAATGTCATAACTTCTTCACTTCTGCTTTCCAAATCTCATGCTACTTCCTCTTCTCATAAACTTTACCTCAGAAACATAAAAAGAAAATCAATGGAATAGTCTCCCACCTGACCTAATATGACAATTCACGGAATCATCTAAACAGTAGATTTTATCTTCATGTCACAAGGTCTCTGTTTTTACATCAATGTATCATGTCCAATGTCCAACTACAATCAAGGGCTATAAGCTAAGACCAAATTGTAAACATAACCACATGAAGCTGTTTTCTTTAAAATCTATCTACAATTACTAACTTTTGTGAAGAACACAGATGTGGCATCCATTGGCAACAAATGTGAAAGATACATCTTTCAGTAGTAAATACCAAAGGGGAGGATGGAAAGTGAGTCAGAAAATTCTGGTATGTGCAGCAGTAAAGAGAAATAGACATTTCAAAACTACAGGTCTCATATTATAATCACCTACTAAAAACATACCAAAAGTTAACAACCTTTTATGTAACATTATATCAAATAGCACATGAAAATAAAAGAACAATGACAACATATTGTCCAAAGTCCAAGAGACACTGAAATAAGTTTTACATAACTGTGCCATCACTTATGCAAAATGTATATAATACAGATAATAGAAATGGAAGATATTTATATTTTAAGTATTCATATCAGCAATGTGAACTACAAATAGAGTGGCATCACAGTTACTAATGAGGCACGTAAAAGGTAAATTTATATTTGTAACAACAGGAAGATTTCGCATCACTTTCATGTGGATAAAAAGTTAAGATCTGTTGGTTATCGCATTTTTCTCCATCACAATGTTTTGCTCAAGTGTAATTGCTTGCATTTAAAAGTTTACAAGGAAATGAGGCTCTCTCACAGCCCCTGTATTCAGTTCTCTGTGTGTATCTTCAAACGTTGTTGCAAATATTTGGAATGCCTAAAGAATTTCCCATATTCCTTACATTTATAGGGTTTCCTCCCCAGTGTGGATTCGCACATGTAACTGCAGCTAGAATTGCTGCCTTAAGTCTTTCTCATATCGCTCACATAGGTTTCATTCCCTTATGTACTATTGCATGGTTATAGAGGGAGTTCCCAGATCTGAAGGCTTTTCCACACTCCTTACATTCATAAGGTTTCTCCCCAGTGTGTATTCGCACATGTGATTGAAAGTGGACTTGTTTACTAAAGGCATTCCCACATTGCTCACATTCATAGGGTCTCTCCCCAGTGTGTGCTCCTAAATGGGAACGTAAAGCAGTTGAATGACTAAAGGATTTCCCACACTCCTTACATTTATAAGGTTTCTCCCCAGTGTGCGTTCCTAAATGGTAACGTAAAGAGCCCATATGACCAAAGGCTCTCCCACACTCCTTACATTCATAGGGTTTCTCCCCAGTGTGTATTCGCGCATGTGAGTGAAGGTTGCATCGTTCACCAAAGGCTTTTCCACATTGCTCACATTTATAGCGTTTCTCTCCAGTGTGGGTTCTGAAGTGTCTCTGAAGGTAGTAAAGACGTCTGAATGCTCTTCCACACTGCTCACATTCATAGGGTTTCTCTCCACTGTGCGTACCCAAGTGTCTTTGAAGGTAGGAAAAACATTTGAAAGCTTTTCCACACTGCTCGCATTCATAGGGTTTCTCTCCACTGTGCGTACCCAAGTGTCTTTGAAGGTAGGAAAAACATTTGAAAGCTTTTCCACACTGCTCGCATTCATAGGGTTTCTCTCCACTGTGCATACCCAAGTGTCTTTGAAGGTAGGGAAAACATTTGAAAGCTTTCCCACACTGCTCACATTCATAGGTTTTCTCTCCACTGTGCATGCTCAAGTGTCTTTGAAGGTAGGGAAAACGTCTGTAAGTTTTTCCACACTTCTCGCATTCATAGGTTTTCTCTCCACTGTGCGTTCTCAAGTGTCTTTTAAGGCAGTAATGACGTCTGAAAGCTCTCCCACACTGCTCGCATTCATAGGGTTTTCCCCCAGTGTGTGTTCTCACATGTACTTGAGGACATCGGTGATCACTAAAGGCGTTCCTAGGCTGCTTACATTCCCAGGGTTTGTCCCAAGAGTGCCTTGTTGCTTGTATTTGAAGGTACTGTTGTTGACTAATGGTTCTCCCACACTGTAGACATTTGGAAAATTTCTCCCCACTGTGTGTTCTCACATGAGCTTGAAAACAGCAGGGAGTGGAAAAAACTTTCCCACATGCCTTACTTTCGAGTTCTTCCCCCACATGTGTGCTTACATGTTTCTGCAGGAATGAAGACATTCTAAAGGCCTTGGTACACTGCTTACATTCATGGGCTTTATCTTCACTGTGTGCCCCGACATGTTCTTGAAAGGAGGGACAAATGAAAACTTTTCCACATTTCTTACACTCAAAAACAGTTTTACTTCTCAAGTCGATCGCATATCTCTGAGATGCTAGCTTAATAACCTGACATTCATAGGGTTTCTCTACAAGGTCCGTTTCCACATGAGGGCTTAGGCACCAGACACACCTGCCGGCTTCTCCACATTCCTCATAGGGATGAGATGTGTATCCAGTTTGAGATCTTTCCTGATTCTGAAAAAAAGTACGTTCCAGGAAGGTGTTTCCTGACGTAGTGCATTCAGACGGTTTCACTCCAGTTGGATATCTCTCACACACAGAATGATCTATAACCTCATTCAAGGTGTCTCCACATTGATTACCTTCGTCAGTTTCAAAGAGACTCTCATGGAAATAACTTCTGTTCAAAATATTAAACATACAATTAGGAATTCATGATCATAAGTAACCTACGTCACTTTTATAAAACATCTTATGGAAATTCTCTGAGTACACAATGGTTCAGTAAGTTCCCACTTGCTATAGCGCCGAGATCCTCCTTCCCCCAGTGAGAAAGCCACTCACCTCGGATGCCCGTGTAGGCTTTCGTGCTGATCTCCAATGTCCTGAAATGTCATATTTTCTCCAATAACAGATCGGGAATCATTTGTTCTACCTCTTACTGTTTTCTCTTCACCAGGCAGTTCATTGTCCAAAGTTTTTCTCTGAAAACATGATCCACTAGTTTGAGCTTTAGTATAACAGTCTATAAAAATTGATACATAATTGATAATTGCCATCACAATTTATTTCTTGAAAATGAAAGAGTACAATAGAAATAAAAGAACAGACTATATATATGAGCTTTTCTATACTGATCAGAAAATATAAAGAAATGTTTTATGTATGGACAGATGTGTGGGCATAAACAAAACCGAGGACACCTGTTCTTTGAATCTATGGCAATAATAGGTAAAAGGAGTCAAAGTAGCAGCCTGGCACTGAGAAACACTCCAAAAAAAAAACGTAAACACTTATGTTTAGAAAAATATTTTAAAATAAAAAATAGGAATAAACTGGGGGAAATGCACATACCTAAATGCTCCCCTCATAAGAGGAGACACAGAAAGTCTTCCCAAGGGAGTGAGGATGGATGCAAAGAGCAATAGGGAAGTCAAGGACACAATGTTACCCTTCTCAGACAAAGACTGATTCATCTTTAAAGTAGGTACCTTCATATATCTCAATCCCCTATCCAAAAGCTATGCCTCTAAAGGCTGGGGCTGTCCTGCTGTTCGTAGGGACAGAAGCCCTTTCTTCATGACCACTGCTGCCATTAAGTGATTAAATAGTGCATGTGGTCATTTCCTGCTCCTGGAGAACAGCTCGTCATGTGGGAGGGTGGAGAACAGAAAACATTCCGTGGCATAGGCCAACACTTGGGCGTCAAGGTGAATGGTAATGTGTAGTGTGGGACTCATTGCAGAAAGATCACCATGACGAATGTGTCCTAATCCCTGTGTAACTTTCACAGGAAAGAAAACAGAAAGCTGCTCTCACGGCCCCAAAGTGACAGTGGAGACAATACTCACACATGATATTTTAAAGCCTAAGATCAAGAGTAATAAGTGGTCAGATTAATAGTGAAATAACTTTGCTATAATGCGAAGGCCATTTGAGTCTGAAGAGAATCACGAAGGCTTGGACCGTGTCTGCCTTTTAAAAAATATTCCCGTTCAGTGGTTCCAACGATAAAAAAATAATTGTAAAGAATACGTCTTTCCTACAATCTAAGAAAAGTGATGAGGCCGTTCTTACCCACGAAGGCCAGGTTCTGGCAGGTCTCCAGCATCACATCTCGGTAGAGCCTCCTCTGAGAATGATCCAGCAAAGCCCACTCTTCCCGCATGAAGTTCACAGCCACATCCGCAAAGACCACCGCATCCTAAAACATTTCACATGATCTGTTACAAGACACTTTTAAACCAATGTGTGTGGGAGGTTGGGGGAAGGAACAGCCAGGGACCTGGACTCAATTCCTAGATCTCCTGAGCTCGTAGCTCATGGAAATGACCACACACACACACACACACACACACACACACACACACACACACACCGTACACTCCGTGATAGTAAGCGGATAGAAACTGGAATCCAAGTATGAGAACACTGATATAAACTTATATACACCTAATTAAAAACAACTATGTTTCTCAGCAGCAATATTATAGTCTGTAAAGAGAAGCAGAACATTTGAAATGGTAAACACACACACACATACACACGCCTGCAACATAGATTTATTTATGCAGCAAGTGTATCATTTAGAACTGAAAAAAAAATTTCTAGGACAAGCAATATCTAAAAAGAGTTCATACCCATTAAACCAGATATATATATGTATCTCACAGATGTAACCAAATACTCGATAAAGTAAAGCAGACATTTAAAAAGTTACTAAGAAAAGTTTTACATAAAACCTAAATGCAATAATTAGTTAGGAGGTGCACAACACAAAAAAACACAAAAAGATCTAAAATGTGACATCTAAAACATAAAGCATGAAAGGGAAAGTGAGCACATGGTCATTTAGAATGCATTTAAACTTATACAATTCGACCCCCACAGAATGACATACATAGACTTCCTGGTACCAGACACCAAATGTCCACAGGATACATGAAGGGGCCTTGCAGTCTTCTTTTCTCCACCCCCTGACACTTTACCCACTCCTGTGCAAATGGCTGTGGGACCTAGTGAGAAATCGGCCAGGGGACCTGGCCCTTTGTCAATCATTAATTCATCTGCTTCACCACCACCATGAACACCAATGGTCGAAGGTCAGGCTCCTCATTATGATCTCTGCCTTCGGACTTTTGAAATTTTCCAAACTCGGTTCAATAGGGAGGATTGCTTCCGGCACATGCAAACGGGGACCAGTGGGGGGAACTGTCTGGCCCACCCAACCTTTCACAGTGCTGTGTTACAAACTCTGGCGAACCCCATCAGTGTCCCTTTTATTCGCCCCATTTCTTAATAACCATCTAAAGAGTCCGCCCTGTCAGGATGAGACCAGCGCTCTCCCGTCTGCATCCTGTTTGTGTCGCCCAGGTTCACATTTGCTTTAGCACCCGATCCCTTGGCGACCCTGTACTGATGTCCGGCTGCTGATCCAGTCTCTTCATTCTCTTTTTTTGCTCATCCCCAGGTTCTTGTTCATTAACGGAACAGGTTTTCCAGCCTCTAGAACATGCAGGAGAAGCCAATAAGCAAATTCCATGAGAAATTGGGAACCATTTTCAATTTTACAATAAAGCTACATGGAGCCCCTTGAAAGGGCCATCTGACCCACAGCATGTACCATAACCCAGGGACAGGCAAATTCATCAGCCCATGTCCCACTCCTGAAACACCAACCCCATGTATCACATCAACTGCTTCACCTGCGGTGTGCCACTGGACATTCATAGGGGGAGATGGACAGTCCCTTCTCAGAGTAAATAAACCCTACAATGCCTTTTGTCCAGTCCACCAGGCCGGCTGTGCCCTTGGAGATAACCCCGTGTGTCTGCATCACATAAAGCACCCTGTGACGGCTCCGTCGGGAGCTGTGAGACCTGTACCAACGCAAATGTGCACTTCCACTCTGTGGCATCAAAACCTAAGGCAAAACCCCTACAGGAGTTACATCCCCATCTGTTTTGGCAAAGGTCCCTCAGAGGATGGGGATTCCCGTCGCCCATGTGAAACAGTTTTTTTGTACCCCTCCTCCTGATTGAGAAATTTTTTAGGTTTGTCATCCCCCATGGAGACGACCTCCTGGGTGACCAGAGGTCTTCTAGGTATTTTCTGTTGTCCCTGCATGACTTTTAGCTGAGGGCGAGGCTGTGAGCCTAGCGGCTGACGCTCTGAGTCTTCATTTTTCTTTATGAAGCCTGCTGATCTCTGACAATTGACATATATAAGCGATGATAACGTGTGCCTTCATAAGATCTTATTCTAGTATATGTAACATTTATTAAAGGCATATGACATCCTTTCCCAATTCTCGTTTCCTCTGACACAATATTGAGTGAACAATTATCCCAGCGATTTTCCATGTTAATGAGAGGCTCGTCTTCAATTCAGAATTCACCTCACCTTTCTCTCAATTACTAAAGCATAAAAAGGTTCAGACAAAGATAAATCCCCAAATATGGATCAGAGATTCGCACATAATCCTCTTTGTCATTTTAGCTGATTGTCCAAATAGGAACTGCTGCTCTTTGGCGAACAGATATGTGTCATCTTTTCCTCTAGGTTGAGGCCAACATGGACTTGGCCATAAGGGCTTCAATGGCACGCAGAACAGGTGAATATCAAACCAATCTGCCCACTGCACTGAGGGGAAGCACTGGTTCCTATTTAAGACCTGGCCCCCTGCTGCATGGACCAGGACGGGAGTGAGAAAGGCCATCCTGTGTTGTTTCTGTACTGTCGGAGATGGTGAGTTCAATCAACTCCCATGTATCCTCCGTGGTGTGTTTTCAGTAAACTGATAACTGGGATCTTATAAATGGTTTCACATAAAACAGCATTTCAAGTCCTGTTTCTTTTCAGAGTGTTTTTAAGTATCCAAATGTCCTTCACACCCTGAGCTCTTGCTAACAATAGGCAAAGAAATCTCTCTAATCTTGATCCCCAGGACATGCTTGATTTTTAGAAATCACGAATAAGGGAAACTAATGGTGTCATTTTACCAAGAGAAAATATTATAACAGAAAAAAAAACCAAACAGTTTTCCTATAGGCATACCTTAAATGATTATTTAATGCAGAAAACAATATAAAGATAAGAGACTCAGACTTTTAGTAAATTTCCGGACTAGATGATAAAAATAAATCTATTATTTGTCATGACTCAGTATATTCTGAGTCATGACAAACAAGCTGCTGAAAAGTAAATACTTAAAATAATGTCTTAAAACTTACTGATAAGAAAACTAATATTTTTACATCCTAAAATATCTCCAATGAAAAATATAAAATAATTTAATGAAAATGTTACAAGATGTAAGCCTATCATTGTTACTGGACAGTGTTTCTGTAGCTTAGGGAAACTTTTACAAGAACTTGGACAGTTGTGGTAGATCTGTAATAGAACCCAAGGAGTATATTTGTGCAAAAAAATTTCTCCTGTATAAGGAGCCTTGTTTAGAACTTACTCCCTTAAAGGGTAGATGGTATAAATTCCATGAATTTTATATTCAACAAAGAGAGAAAATGGCCCAGCCACTGTGAAAAAAGACCATTTAAATGTTCCCAGTAACTGTGCTACAAGGTCACTAACTGGCATGCTACACAGAGAATTTCTTCATCACAGTCCTTTACCGCATGTGTTTGGTGGTTTAAGTGATGCGTTTTTTGTTCTAGTGTCTGGACTGAGTTCTAGTTATTAAACTTTAGAATTCGCTGTGCCTGGAGGGAAGGCAACTGGCAGCAAAAAAGCCTGATGGAACATTCTAGGATGATAAAAATATTTTATCTAGACTGGTAATAGTTCCATTTGTCAAAACTCAGCCAATTGTACTTCATCATATATAAATTATACCTGATAAATCTGACATATTAAAAAGCAAAAATAAAATTACTAGACGATAGTAAATGACACCAGAGTAGAAAGCAATACGTGTAGAGATGTCACATGTTCTGAGTAAGAAGATTCAAAGTCACCACGATGTCACCTCTCCCAAACAGGTCAAAAGCATTAACAAATTTCCATTATATCAAGAACCAGGTTTGTTTTGAATACTGAGTTGGGGTTTATTTCTGTTTTACTTAAACTTTCAAAGAAAATTACTTCTGGAAACTGAAGTGAAAATTTCTAAGAACAGCTGTTTCCCAAATAATAACATGCTAGAATTTTTCTAAACAGACATCGAAACTTTTGAAGTACAGTAATTAGGACAAAATGGTCACATACACCAATGAGAAGAAACACAATGTACTGAAACAGGCCCAAGATTTTGGCAAGTGGATCTACCTTAAAGCAGGGGATCCAGGGAAGCGGAGAGACGGTGACACTTTGACACGAGGGGCAGTGACGACTGGTTATCGACAGGGATTAAGGTATCGTTTAGGTCTGTCTTCCTTTACTAAGCTTATTCTTTTCACTTAATAAGAAAATCAATAGTAAGAAAATAGATATATGAATTAAATATCAAATTTGTATCTTTCTTTCTTCCTTCCTTGTCTAGGGACAGGGGCACATTTCTGCAGGATATATCCTCTGGAGAACAACCCAAAACTCCATTCTGACTGAGACAGAGAAGGAAAGAGCTCCATGAAACCCCAACAGGCAGGTGTCTTGCTCAATTCTTTGTTCGAGACATCAAGAGCCTGGATGCGGTGTGGAGAGGGGACCGGTAACCCCTTTCTCCAGTAACAGAATCACTTTAATTCTGACCCAAATTAACTCTCAAATTTATCAATTTCCCTCCAGCAGTAAAACCCAAAGGTTCACTCCCTGAGTCTGACCTTCAGACTCACTCAATATTAACAAATCACACTAAATGCCACCAACCTTGTACATGACGCCAAAACCAACCTTCAGGAAGCAGCCTCAGCAAAGCCACAAAGAGCCTGGCCCGGTGTACATGGGTCGCCCTCCGCAGGGGCCGTGGCACCCTCAGCACAAAGGCTTCTCCCGGGTGGTTCTGGGACTGGAGGCCACGTGCAGGACAGGGAGCCCAGCAAGACCCGGCTGCACGTTCCTTCACCTCTCACCCAGGAGCGGCGCTGGGCACAGCTTGACCGCACCAAGGTGACGCACTTGCGTCAAGCACCGGCAGCCATTTTTACGAGACAGAGACCCTGTCCCAGTGTGTGAATAAGAACCCGTAGAATTACTGCCTCCACTTGTATCCAT